TTTATTCATTTACAATAAACTCATAAAGTACATCATTCTGATTGAAGCTAAGGGCATACAAAACTGTCTAACAGATCATACCTTGAATGGTCGATCAGTGCCTGGGATAATAGGTTCTCTTGCCAGCATAAGAAACCGAGTGATATTGTCAGAATCATCCTGCACATGGTTAGTTAAAAAATGACAAACATATTTGTTGACAATTTGAACTAACCAATTACACCCGTAACTTGCCAAGATAGACCTGAATATTTTTAGCAAGAATATTCAAGCCATGGATCCTTGCAGCTTCAGCACTAGCAACTGCTCCTGTGTCTTGGAGTTTGTGGACAAAAACAAGCTGCACAAAAAGTACTAATTTTGGGCAAGTTATCATCAACAAAAGTTCCCTTCTAGATTTCATCCCTGCCTCCCCCATGGATGTCTCCTGGGCTATATATCTGCTTCATGCATTTTCTACTCTCATCTCTAAATTGTTTCTGACCAAATCAAAATTAATAAGCAAATAGAAAGGGATATTTAATGGTCCCCACACAGATTGGCCAAAGATATTTTCTCGATGAAACCACTAAATTGAGGGTGCCAACTAGCTTGTGAATGTATCCATTGTGTATTGTAGAGGCAAGTAGAAATCCCACTCCCACCCGTCTCCACCCTCCCTAATTTCAAGTTAGCATAAATCAACCCAACAATAACCAGGTCCACCTTGAGTATCTGCCTAGATGAATGTCAATCTTCCTAGACCTGAACCAACCCACCCCTTTATCCAGCTTCAGGTTCAATATCTCATCATTGTTCATGGTTAAGATCAGGTTGGGCAATACCCATATCAAATGATAACTTCATCATTGTCAACCTGATCCATGGCTGCTCCAGTGGCAGCAACCATGGTCCCTATCCTGATCCAATTGTTCCACTATCCATCAGGTCTCCCCAAATGTAGAAGAGACTGGAAAAAAAAATCTAGCATCATTCTTTGTTTTCTGAAGAATTAACTATTAAACAAACCCAGTATTCAAAAAATTCAATGGAACCAAACAATAAATTGATGATCATATACCTGGGCAGCACCAGCAGTATCATCTATAGCTTCTCTGACCACTCCCAGTTTTGTTAGTGTGCTCTCACATTGAGTAAGAGCCTGAAATGTTATGGAGGTTATAGATAAATACCATGACATTTAAAAGCAAAGTGAAGAAATTAAAGAAAGAGGCAGGAAAATAAAAAGAAAGCATCAATGGGTTAATGTACTTGTGGATGGCTAAGAACTCTTTTTAGATCTTCTAGTCTAACACCATGGTTGGCTAATAAGCAATGTTTGATTGCAAGTTTTACTTCCCCAACAATATGCAGGCTGTGTTGAAGTAAAAGATCATAATTTCGGTGGATACTCCCCCCTAGGGAATTCTCAATTGGTAAAACTGCCCTATCAACAATCCACTGTTCAACAGCCTGCAGAGAAGTAAATTAAAAGATAGTATTATATGGTATATGCAAAAAGAAGATTAACAAATATGTTCTCAAACTGCCATTCATAAGGAGGCCACCAAATAGATAGCAATACCCAAAATAATAATGATCCTAAAGCATAAACCAGCTGCACTCTGACCACAGAGTGAAATATTGGAGTTTCAGATAGTTTGTCAACCAAGAACAAACCGCCAAACCATAACAGGATAACATCAAAATTTCTCTGGTCATGAGAAGTGGATAACAAAACCTCTCAGGTTAACAGCCCCACCCCCATTTAAAAAGAAAGAAAGAAAGAAATCTAGCCCCCTGTTAAAGTTTGATTAAATGACCCCCTCCCTCCCTAGCAATCAAAAAGAAAAGAAAGAATATTTATTTTCATAAGATACCTATATTTCAAATCTAAAAGAGTTGCATTTTCCTCATCCACATAACACCAGATACACCAATAGGTAGGGGTGCAAGTTGGATCCAACCCAAGCCCAGCCTGACAAAAATTCGATGCACTTGTGTTGGGCCCGGGCTCGGGTTGGTCAATCAGATCATACTAAAAATTGATATACATGTATGTGTATGCATTGGTTTATTAAAAAAAATTATGCATATATTCATACATGCATGCAAATGTGCCTATATGCATATATACATGTATATTATGAAGCCGGGCTTAGGTTGGGATAAGATCAGGCCAAGTTCGGGCTACCTAAGGGCTAGGCCCAAGCCCAGCCCCAAAAATTAAAAATCTCAAACTTTTGGGTCCAAGCCCTGCCTGAGGACTGAAAATCCAAGCCCATCCCATGTAAAATTGTGGATTGGGTCGGTCCAGGCTCAGGTTGGGCCTACCCAAGTTGCACCTCTACCAATAGGGCATAAAGGTCCAGAAGAGATAACATAAATAATGTTTTGAGAAGAACGCCTGCATTTGGGTAAGAGTTTTTTTCCCTTTTGTCAATTAAATTCCATGTCCTAAGCTTTATCTTTGGCCCTCTTCCTCTTTGATGCACTTCTTGTTTAAAAACAAGTTTCTAAAGAGAAATATGAATGCTTGTCTATGTGGCAGCTAAGACCAGTTATCCTTTTAGTTATATATCTGGAATTTGGTTTTTCCCATAAACACTTTCATAACAAGTCAGGTTACTAAATCTGCATTGGAGGGAAGATCATAAAAGAGACGAAATGGAAAATAAGAATAACCAACATAAAAAAGTAAAGAGAAATACTAAAGAAAATTGGAGTAAAATGAAAGGAAAGTGATCCATTTATTAAAAGCAGACTGGACAAGAGAGTTAAACCAGTTTAACTGTCAACCCATCAACAGTGTGGCCTACTCTTCAACTATCTTTTGGTCCTTTCTGACTGAATGTATGATTTAATTATAAGCACATGTACAAACAATTGAAATTGAGTAAAGATCGTTTTTTTAATTGGGTATATTTCAGATCAATTTACTTTTTTTCTTTTTTTTTCCTAATTTTCAATTTCTCTTGCGTTCTTGAGTATGATACCACCCGGAGTCATAAGATCAAGTGCATCATGAAGCAACGAAATATTCTCAAGTCCAAAATGCCTGGTCCATCCTTCAAAATCAGTAAGAGGTCCATGATCATCAACAGTTAAATGAAAGGTCCAAATAAGGTTATCACGTCTCAAGTTTCTCAAAGACTTTATCAGGGATGTTGCCTCACCAAAAGTAGACTTAAACTGAAGTTGCTTGAATTGTCATAAAAGGGGGTGGAGGGGAACTCAGGCACCTAAATTCCCAACAGAATTCAGTTGTTTTATTTAAATAGCAATTAGCTGTAGACAATTCAACAAAGCAGCAAAAGATGGAAACCCATTCAATCGCATCAAAACCGATCAAACAATAACAGCCTTGGTGCCTGAATGAAGACCAAGACGGAGAAGCTTCACCCAAGGGACCCTCTTAACATTTTAAAAGAGAAGAACTACATAGTCCATGAGAGAGAAAACGTTCATGAGACATTGTATGTCAAGTGGAGAAAATGAGGAAATAAAAAAGAAATAGATTATTCTGTGGAACGGTAAATGAATAAATCTTGGAAAAGCAATGAGAAAGGTACTCACATTGAAAGCAGTGTCAAACTGTTCACAAGGAAATGCTTCGCAATTCGGATATGCCTTTTCAGCTGCAGCTTCACTGAACGCACCCTGAACTCCCTAAAACTCGGAAACAGACAAGAATTAACAAAATAGAAACAACCACATCTCAATACAAATTCAAAACTTATAATAAATCCCAAACCTGATATGCAACCCGAAGACGAGATCCTTGATTAACTGAATTGGGCAAATCGGTTATAGACAAAGGCCCTGGAACAAAATCAGAAATCCAGAACCAGAACTACGTATTAAAAGTCATCAAGTTCCAAACTAAACGAATTTACGGGCAGAAAAGAAGTAATAAATGCAGAATTGCGAAGTGTCAATGAATCAAATCTTTGTTTATTACTTCGAAGTGTCTCCAACTCAAGCGGCTGAGCGTTCTTCTTCTTCTTCTTCGTTATTTCTCCTACAGTGTCATCATTTTGAATACAAGCCATGACAGATACCTTTAGGCGGCATTTGGAATATGGTTTCGAGGGTGTTCGTACTATCCTTTTGCCTTTTATAGCACGTTGTTCTATATAGATCTTTATGGTTGGTTGCAGCTCCAGTATACAATTTGTCGAGAGTCGATTCAGTGCCGTTGCCATATTTTCCGCATACAGAGAAACCACAAGGGTTTTGCAGAGCTTGAACTTGTTTTAGTTTTCAAAACACACAAAAACAAAAAACAAAAAAAAAAAATGCCAGGTCGGTAATATGATATTTGTTGAGTCCGTTCTCACCAACGAAAAAACGTTCCGCCCTACCCACGAGGAATTCGCATCGGCGCCCCACTGATCATTCCAACAGTGATCGGATCGGCTGCCCACAGAGAGCGCCCCACCGTCCATCCCCTCCGTGGACCGGAAACATCTCTCGTGTTTGTGAGAAATATTCCCAATGCACGGAGGAAATGGGCTGTCGGGCGCGGTACGTAGGCAGCCAATTCCGTCTCATCCCAAGGCGCCAATGTGAATTCCACGAATGTCTCGTGGGTAGAGATGGTGGTTTGGAGTGCACCCTGTATTAGGAGGCACACTTCATGGGGAATTGGAGTTCACATCAGCCCCCATAAGGGGGCGCCCCACGAATGTCCCACAGCCCGGATCACGACGTTGTGGGGAATTGGAGTTGCACATCATCGGAAGATGTTTTTAATACATGGCTGGATGAGCTGTGAGAGGTAGTGAGGCGTTCTTGTGGGGGCTGATGTGAAATCAGGGATTGAAACTTTGGTGTTTGGTATCAATGAGATTTCTTCAAAGCCTTTTCTTCCCACAGAATATAATGGTCATGTATTAGGAATATAAGTATGTTCTCGTATGGACTATGAGAAACAACAGTCTCACCATGGATTATGTGCAACAATGCAAGGCATTTTTTTAGATAAAACATCAAAATGAAGCTTTTTATATTGGTGAAAATGTTTTCTCCTTTTTGTCCATGTAATGCCTAATGGCACCCAGCTGGTATCACATGTCATATAATATTAGTGCACATAACACAAAGTTCTTTATTGTTTTTCAAGGCATTTCTATGACTCTAGATCTCCTACTCACATCTATCCACATAACACTACCTAGGTGCATTGGGAATATCTCCCCGTGCATAATACTATGTAGGAAAATGAGATATTCCCCATGTGTGACTATAATATTATGTGGGTAGACATGGGCAGGAAATCCAGACTTCATTTATATAACCTAAGAAAATGGTAATGGTACTAAACAAGCTCATGAACATGCCCACACATCTTAGCGGGTCTTAGACTTATGATGGTGGGGTTCTAGTTTGATGATGAAATGTGCAGACATGGATCATGTTGGAAAATATTGGTGGGCCCATTCAAATTATGAGAAAAAGCCAAATTCAAGTTCCTCCAAGTTGCACCCTTACATACAAGAACTTGGCTCAGTTTGAAAGGAGTACAAATACAAATATTTAGAGTGCAAAACCATATATTTTGTATGTATTTATATTGTACGTATTTGCATTTGCACTCGTTCCAAACTGAGCCTAATACAAAATATGTACAATGCAAATATATATAAAATAATACAAAATAAAAGCTTTTGCACTCTACATATTTGCATTTGTACTCCTTCCAAATTGAGCCTTAGGCTACATTTGGATCCGGTGTAAAACGTCGTCTATGTAAAAGTACATCGGTGACATTTTACACTGAACCGAATAATAGGTGACTGTTACATTTTGAAAATCGTGATAAAAAAGTGTAAAGTTTTACATCAATAAAATCGATGTAGTATTTACATCGATAATCGATGTAAAACTTTATGCTTGAGGAAGTTTTATATCGATTCACAATATAAAACTCTATTCCATCCAAATGCCAACAAACCTAAATCAGAGTGGAGTTTTACATCGATCTTCATTTACACTCCTTCCAAACGCTAACAAAACCGAACCGATGTAAATTTTTACATCAATGTTGATTTACACCAATTCCAAATGCAGCCTTTCATGTCTTTTATGCAATTACAAATTTGTAAAGCTACTTCCACCTCACCACACCTGGAATACATATCCACAAGGGCACCACCAAGAATGGTACTAACCTCAGCCCAAATGCTTGGTCTTCCTTTTGGGCTAAAGGTAGCACCCTCGTTAATTCCTCCCCCGCATCATGACATTGCACTTGTAAAGGTCCCTTATTTGTAGACTTGGCAAAAAGTTGACACAACATGCAAACCCGACACAATCCAACTCGAAAAAACAAGGTTGGGTCTCATATTTAGCTACTAGAATTTGAGAACAACTGACATGGCCTGACCCAACATGGAAAAGTTGGGTTTGGTTGGATTGGGTCATGGGTCAACCCGCTCACCTGGTTGTTAGGTCTAATTGGGACCATTTATATATTATTAGAAGTTTTCACTCTTTAATCTTTACTATTTAGTTTTTACTCTTTAAATTGTTGAATGTTCAAATTTTTTATTTTATGTTTGAAATTTTAAGTTTTTTTTTTATTTTGACATTTTTATTTTTTAAAAAATTTAGTTATTTTGAGGAATGACCAAAATTGACATGTGGGTCAACTCTAACCCAAATTTTTAAGGTTAGGATCTAGCATTTATCAATCCAACCTAAGCATCTTGACCCAACCCACCCGACCCAATTGTCAGGCCTACTTATTTGTCATGGGGAGATCTTTCCTATAGGGCTCATCTATGGTGTTAATATAGATGTCAGACTTAATGTACATATCTGCCTTCACTTCGATTCCATATTTTGTAAAAAATGGAACGCCTTCTTATTGATAGTGTCCCACTTCATAATGGATGATTTGTTATTACTAAAATTGAAGTCAATCTTAATAAAGAAGTGAGGAGGGAAATGAGTAAGTTTGCCCTTCATTGTCAAAGGCTACTTCATGCACATCTATACTACTTATAAAAGAGTGAATAGCCCCATTTTCTGGACTTTTCATTTGACACTTTCTACCCCTCTTGTCTAAGCATACAATGGACATATATGTCCTTTACTCTCACTTCAGAATCTATCCACTTATAACCATTCGGAACTACCCACTTATAACCGTTCAGAAACTGCCCATGACCACCATAATGGAAACTGAACATCCCCATGTTCACATTCAAAGAGACGCTCCCACATTCAGTTTTGGTACAGATTCCCCATGACCACCATGGCTAATCTATACGTGAATGTCCCTTTTTTTCTGGAATTTTCATTGGACATTTTCTACCCCTTATCTAAACAACATACAATGGGCATAAAAATGACATATATGTCCTTTACTCTCACTCCAAAAACTACCCACTTATAATTGTTCAAAAACCGCCCATGAATTGTAAATAGTTTAGAACTTTAGATACATGTTTACTAATATATCTAAAATTGTCATACCAAATGGGAATCTCATGCTAGAAAGGCAATGCAAACATGCCATATCTAATAAAGCAACCAAGGATTTCATGGTAATACAAAGCTATGGGATGTCATGGGAAGAACCATGGCCCGTGGATTTGGACATGGAAGTCTGAACCCCCATTTGGTTCATGGGAATAGGGATCTAGAATCGGAATTGGAATGGACTATTCTGATTTCAACTGTTTGGCTGGACAGAATCGGAATCCCATTCCCATTCCTGTTGGAATGACATTCATTTTTCCTCATTAGATCATATATTTAAAGTTTTTTTCTTACCAATATATTCTATTAATTAATTTTATATCCCTGGTGGTGAGCTACCTTGGTGGACTCGTCATTTGACCTGCTCCTAGGCGGCCTGTAACTCAGAGGATGGTGAAGCTCCCTGGTGTAGCGCGACCTAACTGCCCTGTGCATGAGGTGATCTCCTCTCCTTTGTAGGCAGCGGAAGCTGAGGGATCTGCGAGAACTCCATCTTTTCCTCCTCTTTGTAGGCGGTGGGAGCTGAGGAACCTGCGAGAACTCCATCTTTCCTCCTCTTTGTAGGTGGCGGGAGCTTGAGGAACCTACGAGAACTGAACCAGGGGGCCCGGGGGTATTTACCCGGTGGGGACTCTCCGGTGCCTAAGTTAGCACTCTGATTGTAGAGGGCTTGAAGATGATAGTAGAGGAATGAGAGAGCTAGAGAGCAGGGATTACCTCCATTTTTTCATTCTCTCTCCCTTGTCTTTGGGGGTCAGAGTCTTTATATAGTGGTGTCCTATCAAATCAGGCGTAACAGCCTCTGTCAAGTCAGGCGTAACCACCTCTGTTTCCCTGTCGCAGCCGTTACTACCAGAGCTGAGGTGGCGGGTGCTGTAGAGTACGGCTCTGCCAGTCAAGGGACAACTCTCAGGACTGGCAGGCACGGCGCTGCCTAGCGAGAGACGTGGGCGCAGGTCTCCGGATCTGTTAGGTACGGTTGTCAGGCAGGAGATGTTCCTGCGATATGTTGAGCTGCCCCTAAGTGTCGAGCTACCCATGCCGAGCTACCTGTAAGTGCCGAGCTGCCCCTAAGTAGCGAGCTCTTTGTAAGACGCCAGGCTGCCTGCGGAGTGGCCAGCTGCCTGAGGCGAGCTGACCCTAGCTATACCGAGCTCCCCGAGCTATGCCGAGTTGCTTGTGGCAAGCTCTGCCGAACTGCCTGTGGCGAGCCATGCCGAGTTGTTTGTAAGTGGCAAGTTGTGGCAAGCTCTACCGAGCTGCCCGAGCTTCCCGAGCTGCCCAGTTGTCAAGAGGCTGCACTTGGTTTGCATGTGATGCCAGGTGTCACAATTTCACTGGAGGGCCAAATCCACCCTCATCAGATTTCATAGCCAAGAGTTTCTTGTGGTTTTTTATCAAATTTGGTTGAGGGAGTAAGAGCCATACCAAGTTGGTCTTATCTTCGGTCTAGTTAATATCGTATAAGTGTTTAAGAAAAAAAAAAGAATGAAAGAGGGAGGAGGAAAGAAACAAAGAGAGAGAGAGAGAGGAAATGAGGGAGAATGAGAGATTAAATGAGAGAGATTGAGGGAAAATGGTAGATTGACAAAGAGGGAGATAACGAGAGAGATTGACTGAGAGAATGTAAAAAACTTTTCTCAAATCACAGAGTCATTGAGGAGGGAGAAACAACTGTACGTGAGAGTGAGAGAGTGGGAGGGAGATCGAAATACAAAGTGAGTGGGAGAGAAAGTGAAAACCTTTTTTATTGTACTTTCAAATAA